GGAAGGGGCTGCCCCGATGAGGGCGACACCAGAGCTGCTCCCATTTGCCAGCAGAGCGCCATCTAGCTGACCTTTGGTTTTAAACCCCCACCCCAGGTGTGTCCCACCCCCCCTTCTGTGCTGGTGTCCAGTTCAGGGGGGAATTCCACAGATCTCCAGTGCTCCCTGGAGAGATCTGGACATGGGGGAGGACTGGGGGCTTTGCTCTTGGCTGGATGGCATGTCCACATGTGAAACGCACTCCTCACATGGGGCCCTGATCCTGAGCTTCGAAATATCCAGTGGTGGGAAGCAGTCTTCAGTCCAAGGGTGGAGGGGTAGGAGGGGCAGGCTTCCAAAGTGGCCGGGAAAAGATGCGGCCCTTTCCGGAGGCCTCCATGTGCAACCTGGCTCTGCAGATTGGGAGGTGCTGGCAGGGAGGCCTGGCTCAACCCGCAGCTCCGGAGCGGCTTGGGGGTGGATGTGGGGGGGCGTGACATGGTGGGGGTTAGCCCTCTTCTCAGGAAGCACCTTCTGCCCTCCCACAAGCAGACAAGAAGCCCCTCCACCCAAGGGGGCAGGTTTGAAAGCCATGTGTGCTGAGCGTCTCTCTCTTCCGGCACGGCAGGGAGGGATGGAGGGAGGGAGCAACGTCTGCCCAACAGCCTCTTCCTGCTTGGCCACAGACAGGCTAGGGAACCCGCCTGGGAGCCCGATCCTGCCTGGGCCCAGCCCCCCCCCTCCCCAAGGACCTACCGATAGACTGGCTGCATCTCGCGCGCGATGCCAATCACGGCGCCTTCCGGGAAGTTGTCAAACTCTTCAAAAAGCTCCCGGATGTTGGCCCGATACTCCACGTCCAGGTCCACCTGAATGATGCGCGAAATCTCTGGAAGGGCAAATGGGGGCCAAGCAGTCAGCAAGTGGGGGGAGCAGCCCCAGAAGGACCACAATACCCGAATTGTCTCAGGGAGTCCCCAGAAGGCCACCACGTGTCTGGACCCTCAGCTGGGCCCCGGACTTTCTCTCACCATGGAGGGCAGCCTCTCCCTGACGCTCAGAAGCCGCCCGTCGACAGCCACACCCAAATGAAGATTCCCCCTCTCTCGCACACGGGGCAGAAATGGACGCACAGAGACACACACAGAGAGCCTCCGGCTCAGAGAGGCATCCAAAGGCCACCCAGAATAACAGCGGCTGGGAACTCTAAACCCCATGGAATCTGCCCATTTCTCCTTCACAGCCTCTAACCCCATGCCTGTCGCCCCTGTATCTTGGGGAAGAGAGTTCCACAGTTCAGTTATGCGATGCGTAAAATACATACCTTCTTTTCTCTGTCACAATTGCACATCCACAGCACCTGGTGGTCCCCTGACCCCTCCAGCCAAGGCACCCCACAGACTTCTCAGGATGTGGGCCTTTTTGTCTGCCCCAAAGCAAATAACAACAGAAAGCACTGGGGACCTACAGCAGCTGGCAGGGCAAGCCGTCCCCCCCCAGCCCCCATGGGGCTGTTCCAGGGGTCCGGTGTTCCCAGCAGCTCGTTTGCAGCCAGAGTCCCTCAAAGCTGGTAAGCAGAAGTGAGCGAACCGGCCAAACCAACAAACAGGCGCTGCAGGATCAGGCCCTCACTCAGATGGGGAATCCACACTGAGGGACAGCAGAGAGCACTGTAGTGGCCGGGGCTGGTATGGGGGGGGGCAGATTCCTGCCGATTGTCAGAGGAGGGCGGGGGAGAAGCCCATGTCCAAGTGGGGGGGCAGAGGTTGACTTCGGGGTGTCCCGGGAGGAGTACTGCCTCCCCTGTGCAGAGATCCAGGATCTGGCAGAGCACCTGCTGACAGTCACCACCGAGCATCAGC